AGACAACCTGATTTTAAAATAGACAAAAGATCTGAATAGACATTTTTCAAAAGAAGACGTACAAATGACCAACAAGTATATGAAAAATATTCAACATCACTGATCATCAGAGCAATGCAAATCAAAACTACAATGAGTTATCACACCCCAGTTAAAATGCCTTCTATTAAAAAGACAATAATAGATGCTGTTGAGGATGTAGAGAAAGGGGGACACTCATACATTGTTGGTGGGAATGCAAGTTAGTACAGCCATTATGGAGAACAGTGTGGAAGTTTCTCAGAAAACTAAAAATAGAACTACCATATGATCCAGCAATCCCACTGCCCCATATATACCCCAAAGAAAGGAAATCGGTATATCAGAGGTATCTGCACTCCCATCTTTATTGCAGCACTATTCACAACAGCCAACTTAGGATTCAACCTAAGTGTCAATCAGTACATGAATAGATAAAGAAAATTTGGTGGATATACATAATGAAATATTACTCAGCCATAAAAAAGGATGAAATCCTGTCATTTGCAGCAAAATGGATGGAACTGGAGGACATTATGTTAAGTGAAATAAGCCAGGCACAGAAAATATCACATTTTCACTCAAATGTGGGAGCTAAAAATATTTTTCAGAAGAAAAGAAAAATTGAACTAATGGAGTTAGAGAGCAGTATGATGGTTATTACAGGCTTTGAAGAGTAGTAGGGAGTGAGAGATGAAGAGGGGAAAGTTATTGGGTATAAAAATATAGGTGAATAGTGGGAATAAGACCTAATGTTTGGTAGCACAATAGGTTGACTATAGCTAACAGTATTTTATTTTCTATTTTTAAAAAACTAAAAGAATGGAACTGGCATGTTCCTAACACAAAGAAATGATAAATTCTTGAGGGATGGGTCTGCTAATAATCCTGATTCCATCATTAACTTTGTATGCTTATATGAAAATTTTACATGTACTCCATACATATGTACAATTATGTATCCATAATAATTAAAAATAAATTAAAAAAAAAATTGTTCTCTAGGCCAGGCACGGTGGCTAATGCCTGTAACCCCAGCACTTTGGGAGGCTGAGGCAGGTGAATCACAAGGTCAGGAGATCTTGACTAGCCTGATCAACATTGTGAAACCCCGTCACTACTAAAAATACAAAAATTAGCCAGGTGTGGTGGTGTGCTCCTGTAATCCCACCTACTCAGGAGGCTGAGGCAGGAGAATCACTTGAACCTGGGAGGCGGAGGAGGCAGTGAGCCAAGATCACACCACTGCACTCCGGCATGGGTGACAGAGCAAGACTCTATCTAAAAAAAAAAAAAAAAATTTGTCCTCCAGTCCACTTGGAACTTTTGTGTACATGGTATGAGATATCTCATTTTATATACATTTTGTTTTTATTTTTCTGTTCTTTCAGTGATGAGTATGTATCCTTATAATAAATTATTCTAAATTTTTTTAAAAACTCAATTGGATAAGAAAATCCCCACCTCACTTGCACAATAGTTTCAATCAGTTTCTATGATATTGCCTATTATTTGGACTTTCCAAACTCTTATATGGCTGCTGTTGGGGTGGAGCTGAGATCCCAATTGAGCCCGTTTCAATGTGGGAACAAACTGAGGCTGTTGCATATGGCATGCAGGTTAGGAGGAGGAGTAAAAGATACTATGTGTAGACATTTAATACTAATCTGTGTGGTGTGCTTCTGTCTGCAAAGTGCTTTCATGGACATATTACTCAATTCTCACAACAACCAGTGTGTTCTGATGATGAAACCAAGGTTCAGAGACATTTTGTGCTTGTCCAAGTTTTATTGGCAAGACTGTTCAGACTACAGTTTGGGTTTTCTACTCCCACTTACTTGCAATTGATTTTCCTACCTCTCCTTTTGTTTTCTTTTCCATAACATTTTCTCGGAGTGTTAGGTATTTGAAGGATGACTTTTTGAGACCTGAAGAGGTGACCTGGTGTTAACTTGGAATGACATGCCGTGCTTTGGACTGAGATAGTAGGTGGCTACAAGTTTTCCGTGGTCCCCGCCCTATTAACAGACCCTCAAACACATTAGTGACTTAGGAGAGAAGGAATTTTTAATATATCAATGAATACATACCTTGTTATTGTTTTCTTTTTTGCTCATTTATGAGCTTGATTACTAAACTTTACTGCTTTCTTTTAAAGCAGTTGCCCAGATGAAATTATCTTGGTGTTTGTACTTCCTTCATTTCTCTTCTGTGACTTTTACAGGCAGTCTGAGAAACAAAGGACCCATTCTTTCTTCCATGGCACACTGCGTCGTTTATGAACGTGAGACAGGAAAAAGATGAAGATTTTTTTCCTTCTCTCAAATATCCATGGTGTTGTCTGAATTCTCTAGGCTGAATTAAATGGAAAAAAACTGAAATCATTTTCAGTTTTAGAGAAAGTATGTAACTTTCTCTAGATTCTAGACCAGAGGTCAGCAAACTTTTTCCCTAAAAGCCCAGATAATAACTATTTTAGATGTTGTAGGCCATATGGTCTCTGTAGTAACCAATGAACTCTTGTCATATTTCAGAAGCAGCTATGGATGATATGAAAATGAATGGGCATGGCATTTTCCAGTAAAACTTTATTTACAAAAATGAAAAACAGCAGATTTGGCTCCCACACTGTAGTTTGCTAACTCCCATTTTTGTATATTTAAGTTTTGTCTATCAGGGAATCTAAGTCTTTGGCTAAATGATTTCTTACCAACCATAGGTTTCAGAGACTCTTATCACCAAAGGTTCTAATGGGTTTTTTCTGCAAATATAAAGTATGATATTTACAAAACTAATGACTACCCACTATATTCTAAGCTCCTTCATCATCAGAAAGGATGCCCAGTATTACTGGGTCACCTATTAATCTTTTTCCTTCCCAGATTGGAGTTTCTACAAGCTGTAGCCCGCCTTGGTCCCTGAACTTTTCCTGTATTTTTAAACATCTTCACAATTATAGAAGATATCCAGATTCATAAACTCTTCAATCTGCATTTGATTCCACTGTGGCCATCTGAACCACAGAACTGAAAAGAATCTTTACTTCTGTTAGTTAATTCCTTTGGAGAACAAAAATAGGTGTGAAAAATATCCAGTGGTTGAGTTGAAAATAATACCTATTTTTTGTAGTCTTTTAGTTTTCCCTTGGACAGTTTGGGACTCACAAGGCCTTTTGGTATTAAAGGTTCTGGACGGCAACATAGGAGGGATTATAAATTTTGCACATAAGATTTTTCCATGAAAGAAAAGTTTCCTAATAGTCTTAACAAACATTCTGGAGAAGATTATTTTTATTTTTTATTTTCCTTTTTATTTATTTTTAAAGATGGGGTTTCACCATGTTGGTCAGGCTGGTCTTGAACTCCCGACCTCAGGTGATCCACCTGCCTTGGCCTCCAAAGTGCTTGGATTACAGGCGTGAGCCACCATGCCTGGCCGAGAAGATTATTGTTAAATGCATGTTGTGTTTGCTGAAAAATATGTAGGGATACATTTTTTATATGAGAGATGCTTATTCTAAGAAGCTATGGAAGTATTTTCCCACTGCCACCTTTACTTATATTTTCTAAATTAGCATTTTTATGATATAAAAGTGACACATTTTCGTAGAATAAAATTTAGAAAATTTAGAAAAGCACAAACAAGAAAAGTAAAATGACAGTGTAACAGCTTAGAGATAAGTATTGCTAACATTTTCATGGCCATCCTTTTGCCATCTTTCTATGCATGTATGTACATGCAGATTAGATATAAAATTTTCACATGCATGAGATGATATACAGAATATTTTATAGCCTGCCTTTTCACTGAAGTATATAAAATGGGTAAACTTCTGTATCAGTACATACGGATCAGCACTAATTTTCATGGCTACATGGCATTCCACAGTATAGATGTACTTCCTGTAACCTGCTTGCATGGTCTCCTACTGGTGCATTTTAAGTGCTTTGGACTTTTCCACCATTAGAGAGAATGCTAAGGTAAATGTTCTTGTATATATATTTTCTTGCCTTGCCAGAGTATCTCTTCAAGATAAATTCCTAGAATTGGAATTAGCAAAATTGTGTGTGTGTGTACATATATGTTTATGATTTTGATATAGAAAAGTTTATACCCAAACTATATTCTCCTCAATGGTTAATGAGAGGGCGTCACATCCTCCCCAATACTGGGAAATTTCTAAGATTTCTCAACAGATCAGTTATCAGCATCTTAGCATCCTTTCCTTGATGGTTGCTATTGTTGTTTTGTGAAGTATTTTACAGCTTTTAAACCAATACCTACCTATGTATTGCACTTACGGTGTGTCAGAGATTATTCCAGGTGTTTTATGAATATCAATTAATTTAATATTCATAATAACCCAAAGAAGTGTGAGCACTGTTATGCTTAATTCACAAATGAGGAAACAAGTGACTTGAAGGTCATATATGTAGTCAGTGGTAAAGCCAGGACTCCAACTTCTAGGGGATTCCAGACCCCATCTCTTTTGTTTTGTTTTGTTTTGTTTTGTTTTTGTTTTTGAGACAGAGTTTCACCTCTTGTTACCCAGGCTGGAGTGCAGTGGAGTGATCTCGGCTCACCGCAACCTCCGCCTCCTGGGTTCAGGCAATTCTCCTGCCTCAGCCTCCTGAGTAGCTGGGATTACAGGCACGCACTACTATGCCCAGCTAATTTTTTGTATTTTTAATAGAGACGGGGTTTCACCATGTTGACCGGGATGGTCTCGATCTTTTGACCTCGTGATCCACCCGCCTCGGCCTCCCAGAGTGCTGGGATTGCAGGCATGAGCCACCACGCCCGGCCCCAGACCCCATCTTCTTAGCTACCATGCCCTGCTGCCTCTCAGAGGAAAAGCTTTGTTAGCAAGGAAATGAACCTGAACACCAGGAATCAGAGTCACATCCCAACTACCAGCTCACCTTTATTTGATTATTTTCTATTTTAATGATTAAAATAATTCTTTTGATTTGTTTTTTTAGGATGTATCAAGGTCAGAAGAAATCAAAAGAAGCTTTGCCCCACTATCAAGCAGCTTTGGAATATGTTGAGATCAGTAAAGGTGAAAAAAGTCTTGAGTGTGTACCAGTATTGAGAGAATTAGCAGGTGTAGAGCAAGCCCTGGGACTCCATGATGCATCCATCAACCACTTCCTGCAGGTAAGCTACAAGGTCCTGGCTACCAAAGCTGTTCTAGACCCAGTGCTTTTCATAGACACAAGTGTCACAGCAGCTCTGAAAGCGCCTGGCTTTGTCATTTGCTCTAGATAAGGACAACACTTGGCCTAGAGTAGACGCTTAACAAAGGTGCTCTTATCAGATGGCCATGTGGGCAAGTGCTGGTACTGGTCCCCTGTTAGCCATTGCACAGACTACAAACAGCCTGAGATACCCTAAAGGTGATTTCTTTATCCTTTAATATTTATTTAGAGCTTATGTTACCGAACTGATAAGGACTCTTTTTTTTTCTACATTCTAAAATCTTTACCTGAAGCCACTTAGAGTTTTGTCTGTTAGCTGCTAGTCTACTTTATCTTTATCTTTGTAAGATTCTTCAGTGAATGTGTCTGTCAGGGTTCTCCAGAGAAACAAAACCAACAGGATATGTACACACACACACACACACACACACACACACACACACACACACACACACAGGTTTTTTTGTTTGTTTTTCATTGTTTGTTTGTTTAGAGAGACAGGGTTTCATCATGTTGACCAGACTGATTTCAAACTCCTGGGTTCAAGTGATCCTCCTGCCTCAGCCTCCCAAAGTGCTGGGATTATAGGCTTGAGCCACCAGATCCGGCCTCTTTTAAGGAATTGACCCATGCGATTTAGGGGCTGGTAAGTCTGAAATCCACAGGGCAGGACATGAGGCTGGAAACTCAGGCAGCGTTTCTATGCTGCAGCCTCAAAGCAGAATTTCTTCTAGAAACCTCAGTTTTTCACTCCCTTCAATTGATTAGATGAGGGCCACCAATATTATTATTGAGAGTCATCTCCTTAAAATCAACTGATTGCGAATATTAATCACATCTACAAAATACTGTGTATTCACTGTAAATCTTAATAGTGAGTTTATCTCTTTATATTGTATCATGCTAAAGGCGCTTTTTAAAAAGTTTTTCTGATAATTCTTTCCTGTAAAAGTTGTAAGATTCAGACCAATCCATTCTTGTTATTTGAAATGGGATACAGTGACAAGGTCCTGAGAGTACTTCATTACTATTTCTTACTTTAACGTGTCTGACAATTTATATTCCTACTCATGGTTTGTTAGAGAGCCCCTTTCTCTCACTTTATCTGGATTGTCTCTTTTAAGCATTATTACCACCCCAAGACACATTATTATTTCCCATTGATAGATAAGGAAGCTAAGAATTTGAGAGGTTGAGTGATACGCCCAGGAGTACACAGCCAGTAAATGGCAGGTTCGCATTCAAAACCAGTGCTTTTTAGAAAGATTGTTCTGGCTGATATGTAGAGAATGGATTGGGGAGGTTGTGCCAACCATAGAAGTAAACCAGTTAGGAAGCTACTGAGGTAGCCAAAGCTGAGAATGATGGTAGCTCGAACTGGGATGAAGATAGTGGGAATGAAGAGAAATAGATGGATGTAGGAAAGATTTAGGAGGCAGAATTGATAGGACATGGAGATTGACTGGATACGGGGGAAAAAAGAAAGAGTCATAGATGACTCCCAGGTTTCTGGTCTGGACCACTGAGTGGATGTTTCTACCAGGGAACTGGCATGTGACTGGGTGATGGAGAGATGGCAAGCTCTGCTTTAGGTGATGAGTCTGAGATGCCCGTGAGGCATACAAGTGGAGGTAATAGTAGGCAGTTAGATAATTGGGGCTGGGCTGGGCTTGGTGACTCACACCTATAATCCAAACACTTTGAGAGGCCGAGACAGGCAGATCACCTGAGGTTGAGAGTTCAAGACCAGCCTGACCAACATGGAGAAACCCTGTCTCTACTAAAAATACAAAAAAATTAGCCAGGTATGGTGGCACATGCCTGTATTCCCAGCCACCCAGGAGGCTGAGGCAGGAGAATCCCTTGAACCCAGAAGGCAGAGGTTGTGATGAGTCAAGATTGCGCCACTGCACTCCAGCCTAGGTAACAAGAGAAAAACTCCATTCCAAAAAAAGAAAAAAAAAGATAATTGGGGCTGGTGCTCAGAATATAGGTCAGAAATTCATCCACTTACACAGTGATTTCGTGGGAGAGGATGAGATCACCGAGGGAGAGTTGATGGAGGGAGAAAAGAACTGATGCAGATTCTTGAGGAATTTCAGTATTCATGGCTGAAGTGGAGGATTACCTAGCAAATGAAACAGAGAAAGATTTCCAAGAAAATAAGAGGAAAAGCAAAAATGAAAGGGGTATCCTCTCTGTCCTTTTTCTTTCTTTCTTTCTTTCTTTCTTTTTTTTTTATTTTTATTTTTGAGATGGAGTCTCACTCTGTTGTTCAGGCTGGGGTACAGTGGCATTATGTGGGCTCACTGCAACCTCTACCTCCTGTGTTCAAGTAATTCTCCTGCCTCAGCCTTCTAAGTAGCTGGGATTACAAACATGAGCCACCACACCTGCCTAATTTTTGCATTTTTAGTAGAGACGATGTTTTACCATGTTGGCCAGGCTGATCTCGAGCTCCTGACCTCAAGGGATCCACCCACCTTGGCCTCCCAAAGTGCTGGGATTAAAGGCATGAGCCACTGCGCCTGGCCTCCCTCCCTTTTTTGATACCTTTCACTGTTTTACTGTTTTGGAGGACATGGGATTCCAGAGAGAATAAATGAGTTTGTAAAGAGCTTAGTGTAGTGCCTGATACATAGTGCTAAATATGGATGTTTTAAATTTTCTCTTTCCTTTCCTTTTATGTTATTTTTCTTTAATTGATGACTTTGTTGAGGTGAATACTGGGGTGATGATAAGAACAGAAACCAGATTATATAGCAGGTAAGCTGTGAGGAAGCAAAGATAGTAAGTGTAGATGGCAGTCACAAAAACTACTGAGATGCTTTTAGGGGAAGACAAGCCCAGGCAAGAGGGCAGAGTACATGGTAAGGTCTGAAGGTTAGACAAAACTTGACACATTCAGGGAGCTGTAAGGAGCTCCCTATGCCTGGGCAGTGGGAATGGCAAAGGCAGGAGATGGGTATCGTTTAGGTGAGTGTTGAAAGTCATGTTAAGGAATTTAAGCTTCCTCCTAAGAGCAGATGAAGGTTTTTAGGCAGGGAGATTGGCATCATCAGATTATCATTCTGGAAGGATCACTCTGCCATAGGGAGAATGGACTGGATGGTGGGGAGATAAGCAGGAAGATAACTCAGAGGTAATGGCTGCAGCAGTACAGGTTGGGGGTGAGACGGCTCATACTCAGGTGGTGCCAGTGAATGGAGAGGCATGGACAGATCTGGAGATAGGAGGGGAATAGACGGGACAGACCTGGGGGTTGTGCAGGTCTTGAGGAGGTCTCCAGCTTTACACCAGGTTTCTGACCTCAGTCACTATGTGGCTCAAGCAACATTTACTGAGCATAGGAACACTGGTGGGTTTACAATTTTTGTTAGTATCAATAACTGTAAATATTCTCATACAAAAACCTTTTATAGTTCCTTGAATTATTTCCAGGGCAAGTGTCCAGAAATTAAACTAGTAGAAAGAAGTTCATATGGATTCATATTGACACTCTGTCACAGAATTGGTTTTGATGTACTTCACTGCCAGCAGTTGATTTTTCTTTGTTCTTAAATGAAGGAGTTTTGTACCAACCATGCCAGCTTTTTATGTTAGTTTACTCTCATTTTACAGAATAGAGTCTCAAATTTACTTTAATATTTTTTTTCTTAGCCCATATCCCTCAAACTTTTTTTTTTTTTTTTTTGAGATGGAGTCTCTCACTGCTGCCCAAGCTAGAATGCAGTGGTGTGATCTTGACTTACTGCAACCTCCACCTCCCGGGGTCCAGCAATTTTCCTGCCTCAGCCTCCCAAGTAGCTGGGATTACAGGCACCCACCACCACACCTGGCTAATGTTTGTATTTTTAGTAGAGAAAGGGTTTCGCCATGTTGGCCAGGCTGGTCTCAAATTCTTGACCTCAAGTGATCCAACCGCCTCAGCCTCCCAAAGTGCTAGGATTATAGGTGTGAGCCACCATGCCCAGCAAAAACCACAAAACTTTCTAAAGTTCAAAAAAAGATCTCAGGTACCAGTTTCTCAAGATTATAGAAAGACATCAGTGATTGTACTAGTCCATTATTATGCTGCTGATAAAGACATACCCAAGACTGGGCAATTTACAAAAGAAAGGGGTTTAATCAGACTTACAGCTCCACATGGCTGGAGAAGCCTCCCAATCATGGCAGAAGGCAAGGAGGAGCAAGTCATGTCTTACATGGATGGCAGCAAATAAAGAGATTGGTTAAGGAAACTCCCTCTTACGATTCCATCAGATCTCGTGAGACTTATTCACTATCCCAAGAACAGCATGGGAAAGACCCACTCCCATGATTCAGTTATCTCCCACCAGAACCCTCCCACAACACATGGGAATTATGGGAACTACAAGATAAGATTTGAATGGGGACATCTGTGTCCCTATCTGTGTCCCCATTTGGCTCTGCCAAACCATATCACTCCACCCTGGCCTCTCCAAAATCTCATTTCTTCACATTTCAAAACCAATCATGCCTTTCCAACAGTCCCCTAAAGTCTCAGCTCATTTCAGCATTAACTCAAGTCCATGGTCCAAAGTCTTATCAGAGACAAGGCAAGTCCCTTCCACCTATGAGCCTATAAAGTCAAAAGCAAGTTAGTTTCTAGATACAATGTGGGTACAGACATTGGGTAAATACAGCTATTCCAAATGAGAGAAATTGGCCAAAACAAAGGGGCTACAAACCCATTCAAGTCAGAAATCCAGCAGGGCAGTCAAATCTTAAAGCTCAAAAATGACCCCATGTCTAGCACCCAGGTCATGCTGATGCAAGAGGTAGGTTCCCACAGTCTTGGGCAGTTCCTCCCCTATGGCTTTGCGTTGTACAGCCTCCCTCCCAGCTGCCTTCACGGGCTGACGTTGAGTGTCTGCATCTTTTCTAGGTACGCAGTGCAAGCTGTCAGTGAATCTACCATTCTGGGGTCTGGAGGAC